AATTACACAGGTCCAGTGCAACTCAGCGCCCACTGGCTTGGCGTTCATCCTCAGTGAAGGAAGGAAAATTTGAAAACATAATTAACCAAAGGGGAGAATGCCCTGTGCCTAATGGGAATGAACAAATCCACACTACAACTGTTAAACAAGCATGGTTATTGCAAAAGTGAATTATTACAAGTGTGCTGCTAGTTTAATCAGCTAAGAAAACATTATGAAATGGCAAAAAAGAAATGTCTATTTAAAGCAAACGTATTAATAATGATGTGTGCACGTGCATGGGTATGCATACACAAGATAGGACACCATCTATCTTTTCTACAAGAAATCACTTTTGAACAGTGTGGATAAAGACAAAATCAGTTCACAGTGAGGTTCTTTTGAGAACAATGTGCCCAATGAGTATGTGATATTTTGTTACTATTGAATTCATGTGAGGAGTGCCTCCCTCTTCCACAATGAATATCTGGCTTCACAACAGTGTGAAATGTCCAATTGGCTTTCACTACAGAGGGCGTTTGACTTTTTTGCACCCTCCAAAGGTGAGAAAACTCCTTCTCAGCATGAAGGTGTCATTTAAAGCCCATTAAATAGAGCATTGTATCCTTCTTGAGATACACTTAAGATTGGAGAGCAGCATGAGGGCATCCTTTTTAACACACTTTAAATGGCATTTGACCTTAGTTTCCTGCCTTGCAGGTATTTCTCACTGGAGTCAGCATGGTGTTGCTATTTGAAGGGGGCGAAGCACAGCAGCTGACCCTTGTCCCCCTCCATAGGACACTGGTTTGACAACAAATATCAGGGTAGTGTCACTTTCAGGGACAGGTGGACACATGCTGAGATGAATGGGATTTAACCTGAAGTTAATCCTTCAGGTGGAGGAATAAAGGGTAAAAATTTTTTTAAAAGAGAGCAAAAGAGCAGTAGAGAGACAATTACAATGAGTCACAGAATAAGAGAGAGAGAGAGATACACCTCACTGAGGAAAGCATGCAGAGTTTGAGGTGAAGGATGATGACATAAACAGCAGGGCAGTGGGATAAAGAGAAAAGAATAAATGTGACCATACTAAGGTCCCATGGAAACCAAGCTCACTGCGAACGACTAAACTGTGTGCATAAATCTGTGTGTACACTGCTATACAGTGCCTTGCGAAAGTATTCGGCCCCCTTGAACTTTGCGACCTTTTGCCACATTTCAGGCTTCAAACATAAAGATATAAAACTGTAATTTTTTGTGAAGAATCAACAACAAGTGGGACACAATCATGAAGTGGAACGAAATTTATTGGATATTTCAAACGTTTTTAACAAATAAAAAACTGAAAAACTGGGCGTGCAAAATTATTCAGCCCCCTTAAGTTAATACTTTGTAGCGCCACCTTTTGCTGCGATTACAGCTGTAAGTCGCTTGGGGTATGTCTCTATCAGTTTTGCACATCAAGAGACTGAAATTTTTGCCCATTCCTCCTGCAAAACAGCTCGAGCTCAGTGAGATTGGATGGAGAGCGTTTGTGAACAGCAGTTTTCAGTTCGTTCCACAGATTCTCGATTGGATTCAGGTCTGGACTTTGACTTGGCCATTCTAACACCTGGATATGTTTATTTGTGAACCATTCCATTGTAGATTTTGCTTTATGTTTTGGATCATTGTCTTGTTGGAAGACAAATCTCCGTCCCAGTCTCAGGTCTTTTGCAGACTCCATCAGGTTTCCATCCAGAATGGTCCTGTATTTGGCTCCATCCATCTTCCCATCAATTTTAACCATCTTCCCTGTCCCTGCTGAAGAAAGCAGGCCCAAACCATGATGCTGCCACCACCATGTTTGACAGTGGGGATGGTGTGTTCAGGGTGATGAGCTGTGTTGCTTTTACGCCAAACATAACATTTTGCATTGTTGCCAAAAAGTTCGATTTTGGTTTCATCTGACCAGAGCACCTTCTTCCACATGTTTGGTGCGTCTCCCAGGTGGCTTGTGGCAAACTTTAAACGACACTTTTTATGGATATCTTTAAGAAATGGCTTTCTTCTTGCCACTCTTCCATAAAGGCCAGATTTGTGCAGTATACGACTGATTGTTGTCCTATGGACAGAGTCTCCCACCTCAGCTGTAGATCTCTGCAGTTCATCCAGAGTGATCATGGGCCTCTTGGCTGCATCTCTGATCAGTCTTCTCCTTGTATGAGCTGAAAGTTTAGAGGGACGGCCAGGTCTTGGTAGATTTGCAGTGGTCTGATACTCCTTCCATTTCAATATTATCGCTTGCACAGTGCTCCTTGGGATGTTTAAAGCTTGGGAAATCTTTTTGTATCCAAATCCGGCTTTAAACTTCTCCACAACAGTATCTCGGACCTGCCTGGTGTGTTCCTTGTTCTTCATGATGCTCTCTGCGCTTTAAACAGACCTCTGAGACTATCACAGTGCAGGTGCATTTATACGGAGACTTGATTACACACAGGTGGATTCTATTTATCATCATTAGTCATTTAGGTCAACATTGGATCATTCAGAGATCCTCACTGAACTTCTGGAGAGAGTTTGCTGCACTGAAAGTAAAGGGGCTGAATAATTTTGCACGCCCAATTATTCAGTTTTTTATTTGTTAAAAAAGTTTGAAATATCCAATAAATTTCGTTCCACTTCATGATTGTGTCCCACTTGTTGTTGATTCTTCACAAAAAATTACAGTTTTATATCTTTATGTTTGAAGCCTGAAATGTGGCAAAAGGTCGCAAAGTTCAAGGGGGCCGAATACTTTCGCAAGGCACTGTATATCAATGACTGCATTATACATGAATAGAGGTACGAAAACTTTTCCTCAAACAAACACTAGAACTGTGGAGTGTGGTGCGTGTTCTTAAAAATAGCCATGATGTCATCTCTGGTACTCTGGCTTCCTCCCACAGTCCAAAGACATGCGTGTGTTAGGTGTGTCTGTCTCTATAGTCCCTTTCAAACATGGAACCCAAGAATTTGTGGGCTGCGTGTACCTAGGTAGCAGTTGTTTTTTGGCGTTCAGACATAGAGCTGCTGTGTGCAAAAATCCCGGCAAGGCTTTGTTCCAAGATAGACATGAGGACTCAAGTTTGTGACTTGGACTCGAGTCACACACACAGTGACTTGAGACTTGTCCTCAAAAGACTCGACTCAAGATTTGCGACTCATGAACAATATATATTTTACTCTTTTTTGCACATTAATGTTAAGAAAATGTCTGTTTAGCCGAATGCCATTCCCTTTACTATTATCATGTGTAATTTTACACATGCACAGGAGGTGCTGCCTGAGATGACTGTAAGCTGCAGCAACAACACTGTGACTATAGTGAAAACATCTGCAGCTACTTTTATCAGGCATCTCAAAATGCAATGGATGGTTAAGTCGGTCACCTGGTAATGTGAGAGACAAGTTAATGTTAGTTCCTATGGGCTTTTAGCAAACATGTTAGCTCAGCATGGGATGCTCATTACAACCATAAATGGTAAATGGTCTTATACTTGTATAGCGCCTTTCTATGCTTTTACAGCACCCTCAAAGCGCTTTCACATTATTCGGCCATTCACCCATTCGCACTCCCAAATTCACACACCGGTGACATCACCGGGAGCAACTGGGGGTTCAGTGTCTTGCTCAAGGACACCTCGACATGTTGACTGGACAAGCCGGGAACCGAACCGCTAATCTTCCGTTTAGGAAACAACCCGCTCTACCTCCTGAGCCACAGCCAGAGACTTGAAACTTGACTTGTGCCTCAAAAACTTAAGACTTGACTTGGACTTGCAAACCATTACTTGTGAGCATCTCTGTTCCAACATAGCAGGACCTAGCTGGGTACAGCCACAATATTCACACAATGTCCACCATCACACAAGACAGACAGACCATTATTCCTCTCCTCAAAGGATGAGAAATTCTCTGATTTCTATGTTGGTCCAATTTCCAGCCATTCTGTGTTAGCTCTCACTGCTAAACTGTATCTTCTCTCTACTCATTCAAAATAAATTTTGTACAAGTTAGGTATGTTACTTTGTTTTTATAGTTGTGCCTAAATGTCACTGTATGCCAAAAATATATGCTACTAAGAGCGAAAGAGGGAGAGCAGCAGCTGAGCAGGTGCATTAAGAAAGAGAGCGGCATTAACGAGACCAGAAGCAGTAAAACAGAGAAAAAGTTGGGTGTTAAATATTATGTTGTAGTGCTGTTGTCATCTTGACTGTGCCCTTACCATTAATTTGACCACTTCCATTCAGGCATGTAGCTGTCTATTTGACTTGATCTGATCAGGTAAAATTGCTAGCAACACTTTGCCAGCTACATGACACTGGGCTTTGTTCTGACATGATGCCTAGATGTGAAATAGCAGGCAAATTCCTGGATAGGGGTGCATGTCGATTATGTGTCAGTCCTGTGATAGACCGGCAACCTGTCTAGAGTGTACTCCCTCTGTTGCCCAGTGTTAGCTAGGATAAGCTCCAAAGGCGCAAACACACAGGCTAAACATTAAGTGGATGGCTATTAAAACTTTGGTCACCATAACACAAAGCAGTTTGGCCTAAAGCAATTTAGTTTACAGCACAGTACAATGAACATACTTCCATTAGCATGTACGTAATTCAATACATTGGTAAATACAGCTGTATACACAGACTACACAGTATACCTGCTGGGTCCTGTCTGTGCTATTGTTTGGTTTCTGTATCTGCATCCCCAGTGTTAATATCACCACACTGTCATGTGGGATAGATTTATGATTCTCTTCTCAGGATATCTGAGTACAGAAAACAGTAAAATAAATAAATAAATAAAATCAATCAATTAAGGTTGATTCTCCAATTCTGGCTGGGAACTAAGCACACTGAAGGGTTATAAAAGCCACACTAATTAAAAGTGACACCATGAAAACAAGGCATTAATTTAAGAGTAATCAGATATCATCACTTAAGTGTCTCATAGAGCCTATTTTTTCAGATTGATTTATGGTACAAACAGGTTGTTACCCTCTCCTCCAGCCGAGCCATCTGCTCTCTGTAGAAAGCATCCTGCTTATTTAGATCTGCTTCTCTGGCCTCCAGCTGCTTGGTCTAAACACACACACACACACACACACACACACACACAGAAGAGAAGAAAAACAATTACTTATGTGCTCTGTGGAGTGTTGCCAATTTTAACAAACCAATCACAAAACACACTCAAACAAGGAAATGTACACATGAGAGAGGCTCACAATGGGGACTCCTACAAGTGTGTATAAAGTACAGAGACATTCTAATACCACAAAGACCACGTGAATGTGTGTAATGCCTGCCAGCATGTACATACACCTAGAGAGGCTTTGCATGTATGGGAATGTGTGCACACTTTGTATGTCAATGTGCGTGCAACTGATCATGCCTCAGCAGGTACTGTATACACTTTTTAATTCTCTTGTGTTCAATCTTCAGCCACACCACTGTCAGGCCAAGAGGATAACATCAGTTCTCAGTCCAAACAGGTGCCATGGTCTGGTGTATATATTTAGCTAGCCTACCTATCTTTACTGTCCTCCCCTCTACTGTGACCTTCACTAAATGTACGGCTGAGTCTCTGGGTGATATACAGGACAGATAAGACCTGGATGCATCTGCTCTGAAAAAACATCTTTACACTTGGCTAGAGCACTAGCAACTCAAATCAAAATGGAATTTTATTAAACATGATAGTATAAATTTCCTTACAGACTTGACCACACACTTTTCAAAACCACATTGTGCTCTGTTCAGATTTAGTTTACACGGCCTCTGTTCACGGGTATTATATACCCGCATCATCTTTTGGCTTTGTAACTCAACATAATCAAAGAATTCTAATCTAAAACAATGCAAAAACCAACTCTAATAATCAACAGATGTTTATTTACATTTGCCCTTTACCTTTGTTAGATTACATTACACAACTGTTATGTAAATTTTTTGTCAGACGATTGGAAAAAATAAATTTACAAAGGAAGCAAGATTTTTCACAACTGCTAATTTTTATTTGCACTTCAGTAATTTCAAACATTCAGGACATTTCAAACTGTGCACAGCACAAGCTGAACACACAGTAACTATTTTGGTCTACACAACACAGCCCCAATGAACACAGACAAACCTATACATCACATTCTTCGTCCTCCTGGTCTCCTCCTCGTCCCTCCTGGTTCTTCGTCCTCCTGGTCTCCTCCTCGTCCCTCCTGGTTCTTCGTCCTCCTGGTCTCCTTGTCCCTCTTGGTTCCTCCTGGTCTCCTCCCTGATCTCCTCCGTCCTCCTGGTCTCCTCCCTGGGTCCTCGTCTTCTTACCACCCAGCCTTACCTGTGTTTTTGTTCATTAAACCTCTTTCTTTGGCTCCTACTCCTTCTGGTCTGTGTCTGCAACTGGGGTCCACACCATGCTCACACATAACACAAGAGAGCTGAGCAGGGGGAAGATCCTGGTGTAAAGAAAAATGTAACATGTCAAAGACAAGGAAAAAAGAAATCCTTGACTATTATGCAGAAACAGCAAGAGAGAACTGGGAGAAGGTAAAAACCTCTACAGTTACCTTCCGTCCAATCTCCTGAATAAGGAAGCAGTGAAAGGAAATGAGAGAAAGAAAAAGAGAGAATGTAAAGTGGCACTGATTCATCCATGAACTTCTTCAAAGTGACATTTGGAGAGGTTTAGTATTCAGAGTCTCGGGGTGACTGCCTAGCACTGTTCTGCTTGAATACTCACACTTTATCCTCTCAATCTCCTCTCTCACTGGCATATACAGACTACTGCATATACACACTAGTGTGTATACACAAATGTATGGTATACACACTTACATATATTCCAACTCAGAACCACACACACACACCATATCACCATATTGCAGAGAACTGTTCTATAGAAAGCAGCCATGCAGAGAGAACCTTGATTCATTTGCTGTAAGCGCAATAGGATGATGAAGAGAATACAACATATAGAGAAAAACACTGCAGTACACCATCCAATCTCTACTACACTGATAACCATCTGTGTTAGGCTACTCAGCACACTGCAGGCGGAGTTGTGCGCTCTATGCATTGTGATGAGGAGTGATGAGGAATGTCACTGAGAGGTTGTCCTTGCGTGAGAATACTGGGGAAGTTTCAAGTCAAGGGGAAACTGTAATCTTATGCACTATACACAAGACCAACCAGTGAATACTGGCAAACACCTGCGCGCGCGCACACACACACACACACACACACACACACACACACACTAAGCAAGGGGTAAAACACTCCAGAGCACACCGTGGTCAAGCTGTGGTGCTCAGCACAACACTGTATTAGGCAGTCTTATTAATCAAACATGTCTCCATTGTGTGCCTTTACAAAACTGCAGTGCTATTGTGTGGCCAGTGTTAGAAACAAGCTGAACTTAAGCCTAAATGATAGTGCTGGGTGAATGTACCCTAAAGTACACCTTAAAGTGTGTGTTAAGTACACTGGAGGTAACATTTTTATGACCTTTAAATGTGTTACTGATTCGAAGCATGCAATCAGGGCTTCTAGGATAGACTGGCAAAGTTTTTGAAAGACTGAAATATGATTGCAAAGGTGCCAAAAAACTGTCTCTCACCAACAGCTGAATTTTGAACGAAGAAATGAGGTGTGCTGGGATGGAGGGAGAAACAGAGGAGAGGACTGTACTGTCACAAGTGTGTCCAAACCCAGTGTTACGCTGATAGGTGGCTGACAGGTGGTGAGGTTAGCATTACAGAGAAAGACAAATGACACACACAAACAACAGGGGAGACACTGACCTAAAATGCATATATTATCACACATATATGCACTCACTCACACCAGCCGGAGCAGCTGTACCCACAGAGAGTGGGTGGAGAGATACATTTGTGCTGAAGGTGAGACTAAAGGGGTCATTAAAAGAGAAGAGGTTGTGACAGAAACGTGTACTCAGGGATTTTCTTTTTCTGCTCACTTTTGTGTGCGTCTGTGGATACATGCACCCTTGGATGTGTTCAATTTCAATGCGAGCAGGTTGGCCCTTCACTTTGATGACACATGCCACACAGGATCAGACAAACACATTATGTCAGGATTACTTCCGACTGATTAACCCCATTCAGCAGCCTTTAAAGATAATCTAATCATTGTAAACACCAAACAATGGGACAGACTTCACCGCTGCCCGCACACCTTTTGTTCCCCTAATGAAGAGGCGGTTGCAAGTGGAGGAGGAGAACTAGGGTATGGGTAGGGGGATGAAGCGGAAAGGAAGGGCAGAATTAGATGAGAAAATGGGAGTGAACTTGAGAGTGGAAAGCACAGAGAGATAAGAGACAAAGAGAAGAGGACAATAAAAGGTGATTTAACATGGGAGAGGTCAAGAATGAAAAACTGGCTGTTAGATAGGACATGGAGCCTGGGCCAAATGTACCGCTATAATTTTAGAAAGAAGTTAAAGTGAGAAAATGATGAAAGTATAGAAAGGAAGGGAGATGAGAGAAAAAAGGAGGATGTGTTACAGTGCATGCTTCCAGCTTTAAAATCCATACATCTCCCAGAAAATGTCAACACAAAGAATGTCTGTCAATCACTCATGATGTTTTCCTAGTATTATGAGCAACTTCAAAACTTTGCAACCCCAGTGGATGCTAATTCACCAATTCTAAATCGGCTTTACTCTAATTTTCCTGTGCAGAAACCCTTGACATGGGAAAAAAAACGGCCAGTAAAAATACCAATATTCACAATATCCTCCCACAGGACACACACAGAATCCACATACTCCTAGTACTGCTATTAGCAAACTTTTACATTGCCCTTCTTGTTTCCATCTCTCCTGGTCTCTTATTAAGTACAGTAGCACGGTGGGTGCGGGTGCAGTGGTGGTCAGATTAAATGGATCATTTAGGCGAGGTAAATGCCTCCGTGAATATCAATTAGCCAGCCGCTGAATAATTAAGAACAGTCATGTTTTTTAATTACCCGAATGCCGTAGTTTGAGATGGGAGTCAGGGCAAAGGAGAAGACAGGGAGGAGGAGAGGAGGATGGAAGATGGATGAAAACAGGTGGATTTTGCTGTGTCAGGCCCCCCCGCCCACTGCCTATTCTCTGATTTACTTCCATACACCCTTACACTCATACACCACTTTCTTTCACAGCTGCTTTTGGGTGGCGACAGTGGTGCGGTTGGTAGAGCAGTCATCTCCCAACCACAAGGTTGAAGGTTTGAAACTTGGTGCCTCCAGTCCATGTGTCGAAGTGTCCTTGGGCAAGACACAGAACCTCCCCGTTGCCCCCAATAGCCATCGGTTGTGTTGGCGCCGCAGATGGCTGCCATCGGTTCTGTACCAGACACAAATTCCTTGTGTGTAACATACTTGGCCAATAAAAGTGATTATCCTTATCCTTTCTTTAAAGTGTCCTTTGACACTTGTTTTTTTTTTTCTTCTTTTTCTTTTAAAGCTATCCAAATGATTGAAATAGAAATAACTCCTGCTGGGCAACTCTGTGTGTGTGTGTGTGTGTGTGTGTGTGTGTGTGTGTGTATATTGTGTGTAGCTACAGGATGCTTTATTATATTAAAGACATATACTGTATAAGTATATGTCTGTATAGCATGGTTACTGTATGTCTGATTTGCAAAATTTCCTGCTGTCCTTGAAGAGACATGCATATACTTACCCAAAACAAAACACTATAAAAAGACCCTATGGTACTGTAAGTGAAACAAGACTGTTCTCCCAGGAAGAGTAAACAGCATCAGTTGTTTCATCAAGTGCCCCAGAACAGCATGTTCACATTCAAATTACAAAGCCCCCTAATGGCCATAGGAATTATGGTAAGAGCAAAAGAGAAAGTCAGGTGGTACAGTGCGACAAAGTCCGCACAGGGGAGAGGTCAGGATGAATGGATGGGTCACCAAGCCACTGACTGTATCACAGGAGGTTGCTTCTCATTTCCTGTTTTAAACAATGTCAGTCTGTTCACTATAATGGATCCATAACCTTAACCACATGGCTCTTTGTGCTGCCGCCGCCAATTATCTTCTGGCTTTCGCAAATAGCAATTTGAACCCAAACTA